AATATGAGTTTCCTCTAGCACATAAGGTTCTTTTTTGATAGATCTATGTGTTTGACTTTTGTACTGGGTTTTGATCTTTGTGCTTTAAAGCACATAAACTAGAGCACAAATCTCGACCACTTTGCTCCAACATTTACTGAGGGAAGACATGTCTTGTTGATTAAGGCTTGTGGAACCAACTAGGTTGATATATCTTCTTTAGCCACCTTTATGCATATATTTCTTTGTTGATAAATCTGATTTTGGCACTGGGTTTTGTCTAACAACCTTCCTTTTTTGCTATTGGTTTTGAATATTTGCAATTTATGCGGTTTTTGGGAAATTGTTTCCATTTTTTTTTCTTCCACTTAGTACTTTTGTTGTTCTTATGAGAACAAGGTTGTAGGATATGGTAGAAAGACTTTTACTAAATGATGTGTTATGTTCCTTGTAATTGCAAGTGGTATCAAATACTAAGCTGATCTTTATTGTTCAGATATGCAATGGCAATTCATCTAAACTTGTTTCTCTCTCTTCAGTCTTTGTATAACTCAACTTGTTTTTAGAGCGCGCGTGTGCCCAACTTTGAATTTTCCAAAATCAGCACACTTTTGAATTCATCCGTCAAATGACCATGGGGCCCCAAAATCTAAAATCTCAAAGGGAACTTGACCATGGGGGTTTTAGATAATCAACAATCTAGCCATTAATAAGAAATGGAAAAAGAAGTTAAAAATTGAGAGTTTGTGATTATATTTAGGAATCTAGCCAAAGATTAGTGGTGGAAATTTCCGACTCTAAACTCACACAATAAGATTTTCGAGTCAAATATAAGTTAACCTGCTAAGACACGATTAATAAATGAGTTGTTATCGATCTCAATACAAAATATCTGATATTATACCATCAATTTTATTCCCCTAACAAAAGCAAAAAAAAAAAAAAAGGAGTCCAATTTCCATCTCGATGACGATGTGAAAAGGTGTTTAATTAAACCTTTTATCAATACCAATATAAAATTAATAATTTCAATTTTGGACAGTTTTCAAACCAAACAAGTTAGAATTAATCATGCAACTTCAAACTTCGTTATAATTATGGTAACTCATTTACTATGACGTGTAAAATTTCATTATCATGGTTGAATTGAATAATAGTAAAATATTTCAATTTCATATCACGTCACGGAATATCATGGGGAAGTCGCCTGGGGTTACCAAAAATAAGACGAGTATTTTGGCATTAATTCAAAATATGATCATGTTAAAATGTGTAATTTAACTCCTTAATTTTGACACTTTCTTTTTTCGTGCATACAAAATTTTAAATTAGGTTGAGTGTTTAGGTGAGTAATGCTTCCTACTTTCTTTACAAATGTTGAATTTCTATAAAAGCCAAACGGTACCCAACATGAAAAAAGAGGTGCTTGTGGCTCTAGGGTTTCTCTCCCTCATTTCCAAGCACACACCCACCCAAAAAGAAAGATAAAAAGTAACCATTTGGAGGAACAACAACTCTCTTCTCAACTCAACTTGAGGTTTGGTGCCGGTTTGTTTCCTTTTTTATTTTGGTTTTGATTGGTGCAAATTATAAATCTTGTCATCTTAAAAAAAAAACAAATATATAAATCTAGTGGAATCCGAAACTTACTTGATTTTATTTGGATTTATTTTAGTTAAATATAGATGGGAGAGTTTGGATATAATATTTGGGGTAATACTAGTTGGTTTTGCTTTAGTATTTTGGGTTTTAGAATTTTTATTATTTACTCATTTAAATTTCTTTTTGTAGCCATGAAAAAAAGAGGAGAAATTATCTTTTTTTCCTTTTGGGTGGGAGCCTTGATTTTTTGGATGATGTGGTTGTGCATAAAATCCATTATGATGAGAAGAACTGCTGAAGAAACTCCTCCACCACCAGCTCCGCCAATACCATCAGTTAATCATGAGGAATTAGAGCTGAATGGGCCAATTGCCACATCAGACAGAAGAGAAGAAAATTAATATGATGAGATCTACCCGAGCCAAGAAGCTGCTGCTCTGCATGTTGTCGATATCCTACCACCATCTCCCATGGAATAGTGAGTTCCCAAGGAGAAGCCTAAATCTAGATTCAAACCATGCATAATCTCATGTGCCAATGTTATGACCATGAGCTTTTAGTGCAAACTATTGTTCTATTATTGTATTAATTTGACTCTAAACCTCCAATTTTCTATCCTTTGCTTAATTCATGTCACTTATTAGACTTAAAAACATTGTTTGAGTGGTTTGCTTTCTATTCTATCCAAATGTTTTTTTTTTTTTTGAGATACTAATCTGTAATTTGAGCTAAAACATCCGAAGGCTATATATCCTCTAAAAACATACCTTTTCTCCTAAATATATTTGTCTAATCTAAAATCATCTATAAATGAAACATATAGTCAGTAACGCATAAATTGGAATGAGAGCACAATGGAACATCCACACTCTATTATTGAATGTTTGCAATTTATGCAGTTTGTGGGAGATTGTTTCGATTTTTCTTCACCTACCACATTTGTTGTTCTTAGGAGGTGACAAGGTCGTAGGATATGGTAGAGAAACTTTTACTAAATGATGTGTTATGTTCCTTGTAATTGCAAGTGGTATTAAATACTAAGCTGAGCTTTATTGTTCATCTAAACTTTTTTTTCCATCTTCAGTCTTTGTATTCATTAGAACGTTTGTTTCCTTCTTAGAGACACATTTTAGAAGTTTAATATTGCATTAGGAAAAAGGAAAATAGTTAAAATTTCCTTTAGTAAATTTAATCCTTAAAAAAAAGAAGTTCATTCACCTCACATCAATATTTTATAGTCTTCAATTGGTGTATCGATAACTCTGCTTACAAATTAATGCTTTAAAAAAATATATATATAATCTTATAAGAGATTGAGTTATCGTGTTTTTTTTTTGGTCGAAATCTAATTTCATTAAGGAAACCAAGAGGGAACAGACACAACAAAAGCCACACATGCCCTAGCTCAGATTTTCCACAAGACTTTTTTAAACATCTCAATTTCTCTTTCCTCTAGCCTTCTCAGACTTCCTTCGCACAATTGCAACAATCTTCTTCTCTTTTCCTTGCATATAACAAATTAGCCTTGAGAGAGAAAGTGATGCCTTGTTAACTTCGCTCATTAAGAGACATTTGAGAATGACCGCATTGAACTTACTTCCAGTTCTCTGCACAAGAAAGCGGTAGAGCTTGACGAGAAGCTTGAGATAAATATCATCGGACTTGGGCGCAATGCGCTCGGTCTTCTTGCTCTTACCTCCTGCAACAAGATCGATCCCCATTTGAGCTGTTGGTGTTGAAGTTTGATTGCTCTAGTTGGGACGCTGCTTTGTGCCTAATGGACAGACTCTTCTTTTGGTGAGTTTGTGTGCGTCTGCTTGGATTTCATCTATCTCAATTTTTGTATGGAAAAATTAATTCATAAAAAAAAAAAAAACAGGGATTGAATTATTGTACGTTTGTTGAAATGCCTAACTTAGATTTTCCATGAGACTTCTTTTAACATCTCAATTTCTTACTTCTCAGTTGCTTTGCCATGGATCATCCCGAAACCTTCTTTCATAGTTCCCTTCTTGCACAATCGAACCAAGCCCTCAAGCGACGACTAATTGTACATGCAACTAGGGAAATATTTGAGGGCCGCGTCCCATACCCAGAACAACTTAGGCCCATGATCTTTAGTGATGTCATACAATCGCTTGATCAATATCCTTCATTAGGCCTGACCAGGGGTAGGTTTCAGCTCGAGGAGCTTGCAGTTTTGGTAGTCAAAGGCACCATTCTTATATTTTACACAAACATGGCCTATAAAATTCCAGTTGAGATATGGGTGTCGCACAACTATCCAACATCTCCGCCAAGGGTGCACGGGACTATGGATGACCAAAACACGACGGCAATCAAGTTACATCATCCATATGTCGACGCTAGAAGTGGAGGTTTCATAAATGTGCCACATATGCTGGATTGGCACTCATAAAGAACTCTTGTGGTTCTAGTAACCAACATGTGTGAGTGTTTTAGTTAAGACCCACCCGTACGGGCAGGGCCAAGGCCGCACCACTACCATCTTCGCCACCACAACAGCCACAACCACAACTGCAGCCGCCTCATGTGCAAGAAAGACAGAGGCAAGAGCTAGAGGAAGAGAGGCATAAGCAAGAGCAATTGATGCAGAGGCAGGAGGAAGAAAGACAACAACAAGCATAAGAGAAGCAGTCATCGAGCTTGTAGCATTCTTTGATAAGACGAAATGAGCATGATTGTAGGAAATAACGATGAAAGTTGAGATGTCTTAGACATTCTAAATTGTGAAATTCTTCTTCAAGATCTAGGACTTCTAACCATCAAAACTTATGAGTATCTGTGATATTCAACCCTAATTTGAAACCCCAACAATTCTGCATTGAAGAAGCAAGGAATCAATAGAGATTGGGTTCAAAGGAGAATAATTGTTTGTAGCAACGTGATTTCTGGGATATGTTTGAGATACTTTCCTTTACTATTCAATGACAAATGTGGTAAATGGCTTCAGATTATCACGTGAATTATTATTACCCAATTCAAGCCATGGGGGCAACATTGGAACAAAATATGATGGTGAAAAATAAAAAGAAAAAGATTATATCAGAAAATACTAAAAAATGAATGTAATCCTATGTGGCACAAAAGTTAAAGGACTTGTATCAAAGTCATCAAATCCGAGAATTAAACCCAACTTCTCAATGAGAATTTGGATTTATATTAACTTTTCTATAAATCAAACTATCACATGGCTTTAGAGGCTAGCTATACTCAAGGAGATTGAAGCAATACTTAAGTTCACAGAATCTTAACCCTATATATAATAGAAGAGCTTAAAGACCAAACAAAATTAGTTACCAGCCACAGCAGCCTAGTTTGCATATAGCTTAGGTTATACACAATTTATATATATATAACCCTAAACCCTATATATATATCGAAAACCATTTAGACATCTAATTGGGTTCTACAATATCAATGAACACAGCATTACAAGGGTGGAAATATATGTTTAGGTAAAACTGATTCAATTCTATTCATCTCCATAAGGAGCTATTTATATATTTACATAGGGTTTTTACAGGTTTAACAAGGAAACAAAATAAACTAGGAAACAAAGTCCTAATTGTACAAGAATTAGTCAACTATACTAATTAGGAAATCACTTTCCTGAACTCACACACACGCCAACACTCCTCCTCAAGTTGGCGCATAAATGTCACTAAGGCCCAACTTGCCCAGCGTGTCCTAAAATACTCTTTCGTCAAGATATCTGCCAACTGATCTTCTGACTTTACAAACGGAAACTGAAGTGTCTTGTCTTCTAATTTTTCTTTGATGAAATGCCTATCCACTTCAACATGTTTAGTTCGATCATGTTGAACTGGATTATGAGCAATATTAATGGCCGCAATATTACCGCAATATAATTTCATGGGTTTTTTAGGCTTAAAACCTAACTCCGTTAGAACATGCTTAATCCATAACAACTCACAAACACCATGTGCCATACCTCTATATTCTGCCTCTGCACTTGATCTTGCAACAACATTTTGTTTCTTACTACGCCAAGTAACAAGGTTACCTCCTACAAAAGTAAAGTAACCTGAAGTGGATCGCCTGTTTGTTTGGAACCCAGCCCAATTCGCATCTGTATACCCAATTACATCCAGATGTCATTGCTTTGAATACATTAACCCTTTACCAAGAGTTGATTTCAAATATCTCAAGATGCGATTCACTACATCTCTATGAACTTCACTTGGAGAGTGCATAAACTAACTTACAACACTCACAACATATGCAATGTCCGGTCTCGTATGTGACAAATAAATTAACCACCCAACTAAGCGCTGGTATTGCTCCTTGTTAGTTGGTTTATGATCAGTACACTCACCAAGCTTGTGATTTCCTTCATATGCGTATTAACAAGTTTACACCCCAGCATCCCTGTTTCAGTTAATAAATTTGTAACATATTTTCGTTGAGAAAAGAAGATACCTTGCTGTGATCTAGATACTTCTATCCCAAGAAAATACTTAAGTGTACCAAGATCTTTCATCTCAAACTCCTTAGATAAGTACTCTTGCAATGCTTTTCTTTCGTCAGGATCATCACCTGTTACGATAAAAAAATGATCAAAATTACTTTGTTTATATCTGAATGCCCTCATAGACTTTGTCAATCGCCCAAACCTTGCTCTAGGTGACTACTTCAAACCATACAAAGACTTATTTAATTTGCACACATAGTGTTTCAATTTGGAACTCATGTTACATCCAGGCGGAGGATCCATATAAACTTCTTCTTCTAAGTCACCATGTAAAAAGGCATTTTTGACATCAAATTGGTGTAATGGCCAATCCAAGTTTGCAGCAAGTGATATTAGGATTTGTACAATATTAATTTTTGCTACTGGGGAAAACGTCTCCTGATAATCCACTCCATATCTCTGAGTATACCCTTTTGCCACCAATCGAGTTTTGTATCGTTCGATTGATCCATCTACCTTCAACTTAATTGTATAAATCCATCTACAACCCACAGTTCGTTTGCCACTTGGGAGGAACAAGTTCCCATGTGGAATTCTTTTGAAAAGCTTGCATCTCATCATTCATTGCTTGTTTCCAGTTTGGGTCCATCAGAGCCTCTTCTACACTGCTTGGTGTAGACAAAGAATCTAGGGGTTTGATCAACATGGCATGTGGTGCGGACAATCTGTGAGTGGAAACATGGTTGCTAATCGGGTACTTCACTTTAGCTTTGGGATCTACTTCAAATTGAATCTTCGGGATACCACGATTCTTACGAACAGGTAATTTGTATGGTTGTAGATGTATCTCATTAGATGGATCGTCTGAAAACAAATCAATTAAATATAAATCTTCAACATCAATGTTTTGGGATGTTACCTGGGTTGTAGTTTCAGAAGACACCTTGGAAGATAATTGGTTAAATGGTACAGAAGCTTCAAAAATGGGCATCAATACATCATTCTTCTCCCCCTGACCGGATGACTGGGTTGTTGGTGAGGAGACCAACCGTGACCGATCATCAAGACTTTCATGCGTAGTGATGTAGAGCTTCTGAGTAGGTGGATGATAGCATCAATACCCTTTTTGATGTTGGTCATAGCCAATAAACACGCACTTGAGTGCTCGAGGCTCCAACTTGTTGCGCTGATGTGTATAAAGGTGAACAAAAGTTACACATCCAAAGACTCGTGGCTCCAAATTGGGAGTGGAATGAAGAGCACAAAACTGACGAAGGGCTTGTAATGGCGTTTGGAAGTTCAAGACACTGGAGGGAACCCGATTAATAAGATAAGTAGCAGAACACACTGCTTCTCCCTAAAAAGAACGAGGCATTTGAGCATCAAACAATTCAGCTCGAACCACTTCTAACAAATGACGATTTTTGTGCTCTACTACCCCATTTTGCTGAGGGGTATATGGACATGTTCGTTGATGTTCAATTCTATGAGCTTCTAAAAACTGACAAAGATCATGATTCACAAATTCACCCCCATTATCATAACGAAGGATCTTAATTTTTGCATGAAACTGAGTGTCAACCATCTTGTAAAACTGTTGAAATGTGGTACACACCTCCCCCTTGGTTTTTAAGAGAGAAATCCAAGTCATACGTGTGCAATCATCAATAAATGTAACAAACCAACGAGCACCAGAGGGAGTAGAAATTGGAGTAGGACCCCAAACATCATAATGAACAATTGCAAACGACATTGTACTTTTATTCATACTCAAAGGGATGGAAACTTTATGGCTTTTTGCCAGTTCACACACATCACACTTAAAATTAAAATCTGAAATTTTACTAAACCATGAAGGAAACAACTTTTTAAGATATCCAAAGGAGGCATGACCCAACTGTCTATGCCACAACCAAATAAAATTCTGATTTTTCTCGGTTGGTCCTCCACTAGTCTTGAAGGCTTGAGAAATCCCAGTCTCACCACTTGGTGCCAAATCTAGAAAATACAGCTTGCCCCTTCTAGTACCATAACCAATGATCTTCCTTATGAGGATGTGCTTTGAAAATAATTAGCTGTAAAGTAAAGCAACTCCATGTTTGGTAAACAATATTTTTAAAGTGCTGTTAATACAAAAAGCAATGTAAAAAACGTTTGGTAAATTTTAATATAAAATTGTTGTAACTTTGAATAATGACTAAAATAGACATAATGTTGAAAGTTTTATGTACTAATCATGTGGTGGTAGTGGTGGTGATGGAGTGGAGGTGGTGGTGGTGATGAATGCGGAGTTGGTGGTTGTGGTGGGGACGGCGGTGGTGGTGGTGGTGGTGGCAGTGGCAGTGTGGTGGTGGTGGTGGTGGTGTTGGTAGTAGAGGTGGAGGTTTTGGAGGAGGTGGTGGTGATGGTGGTGGTGGGGGTGGTGGAGGAGGTGTTGGTTGTGGTGGTGGTGGTGGTGGTGGTGGGCAGGGATGGCTATTGTGGAGGTGGTGGTGGATGTGGAGGTTTTGGAGGAGGTGGTGGTTGTGGTGGTGGTGGTGGTGGAGGTGGAGGAGGTGGTGGTTGTGGTGGTGGTGGTGGTAGATGTGGTGGTGGTGGTGGTGGCGGTGGTTGTGGAGATAGTGAATGTGGTGGTGCAAGTGGTGGAGTTGGATGTGGAAGTGGAGGTTATGTCATTTTTTTAAATGAATGATGATGTTTTGGTAATTAAACAAAATCATTAAAGGTTCATCTCTGCTTCTTTTGAAAGCAGCTTTGAAAAGCAACCTAGGGCCTGCTTTTAAAAGCTGCTGTCAAAAGGCCACTGCTTTTAAAATAATCGGGATATTTTATTTTTACTAAACACCTTAAACTGCTTAACTTTAAAGTGAAGTAGGTTTTTGGAGAAAAAAAGCAATCCCAAACAAGGCCTGAGTGCACTTGAAAATTGGTTTGTCCTTCACCCCCTGGGTCGAGGAACTCCTGTGAGATGAAGGTGGTCCCTTGGGACGTGGAGCCACCAAGACAATAGCATCAAGAGAGGCAGCATCACTAGTAAAATTGGTGCGTTGTTGTGCATCACAGCGAACATAAGCAAAACTTAGGTCGAGATCCAGTTAAGGTTCCTTGCGGAGGATTTCACTACGGACTTGATCAAATTCAGGATCCAATCCAAAAAGAAAAATATGAACTTGAAGACGGTTGAGGTTTTTTTGGAATGCATCAGTATCAACAGAGCACACCATAAATGGGGAGTCGTGATGATCCAAATCCTGAAAAAGACTCTAAAGCATGCTATAATATTTGGAAACAGGTTGGCCATTCTGTTTGAGGGTGAATGCCTTCCTGTTCAATTTGTAAACTTGAGATTTGTCGGATCCATCATAGAATACTTTCTTGACAGTAGCCCAAATCTCCTTGGCAGTGCGAAGACGAATAAAGCGGCCCATCAACTCAAGGGACATAGAATCAATTAACCAACCTTTAACCCGTAGATTTTCAGTGGTCCACGCATCAAAAGTAGGAGCAGATTCGGCTGGCATAGCAATAGATCCAGTAAGATAGCCCAACTTTCCACGGGTAGCAATTCGAATTTCCATGAGTTGAGACCAAAGAGCATAATTGGTCTCATTGAGAATAATTCATGTAGGGAACGCAGAATTATCATTCTGGATGGTGACAATCTATGGAACCGGCGGAGGTGGAGGTTGTGCAACGGAGGTCGAAGAACTATGCGGGAGAACAAGGAAGCCTCAGGTGTTGTCATCATAGCGGAAATTGATGGTGTGGACGTATGAACTCAATATATGTGGAGGATGGATGAAAAACGTATGAACTCAATATAGGTTTGAATTCAATTAGAGAGTTTGGGATAAACAAGAAACCACCAGATCGATGGCTTTGATAGGTAAAACTGATTCAATTCTATTCATCTCCATAAGGAGCTATTTATATGTTTACATAGGGTTTTTACAGGTTTAACAAGGAAACAAAGTCCTAATTGTACAAGAATTAGTCAACTACACTAATTAGGAAATCACTTTCTTGAATTCACGCACACGCCAACAATAAGAAAATACTAAAATTTCAATAATTTAATTAAGTGGTCAAATGATATCAGATTCAAGTGATTTTTTTTTGTAGAGATGATCTTCGAATGAATATCAACAAAATAGATGGTTGGGATTAATGAAATATAATGTATAGTGAGCCCTACAAGGGTGTCTCTCAAATAAGCTTATTTGAGGGATCCCTCAACTGAAGCGCACTCTCTCTTTCTCTCTCCATATATTTAGCACTAGCTAGTGAACATGTAGACTGACAGAGTCCTTAATGGAAATTCTTGTGTTTGCATAGCTGTCTTCTTAACTTTAGTGTTGGCTTAACCTCTCAAAGATCGTAGTGTTGCTTATAGTCTGGTAACCTAATTTTTATTTCAATAGGTAGCTAGTATACTTGGAGGGGTAATTAATCGACGTACATATTGATTAGGAAGAATCTTCTTTTTTTAATCAATTAAGAAGAATCCATCAGCATGATGAAAGCCAATGAAACATCGATCGATGAGCAGTTATCCTCTAGCTAATCGGTGTTATTCATCTCTTACCTAGTTGTCATAATTAATTCATAAGAGCATCTGGTTATTCAAACATGGATGAAGCAGGGATTCCAAATGAAGTGAATATTCAAAACCATATAACCTTTGTGTTGGAATTGTTTATCCATTTCTTTTTTCAACCTTTTGTTTGTTTGTTTTAATCATGGTTGATGTGGAGATCGAATCTGACATAGCTGAAAAGAATGGTATTTATCTTATCCTCGTCAAAAGACTTATTGGACCACGCTAGCTATATATAAACTTCATGATCTAAAGCTTTTGCTAAGTTTTAGTCAGTAATGAATTCTTGCCTCCCTAAATGTCACACTCAATAAATTGGTTTTGAATGCTGTTAGGAACAAACTCTGCACCATTGTGTTCAAAGCTTCGATTGCCAATGCCTTCTAGCGGCTCATGAATGGAACAGTCCTTTTGGTTAATGGCTTTGAGTAGGATGTTCTTTGTTTGGATTGGATTTTCCAGCAACATTTTTGCATGGCCTTTTTTTTCATTTGGTCTTCACTCATTGCCAATTGATTTTGGGTTAGATTACATTCTAATATGGTATCACGCCTAAAGAAGTGTAAGATATCAGTACTACACCTGAATTTTCTCTTTCTTTTAGTCTATCCCAACTATTGATGCACGGAAAATCAAAGATAAAGTCGTGGGATGACCGAGAATTCAATATTGGAAGCAGAATACAAAAACAAAAAATAGCTCAAACCTGGAATCTATTGGAACCATTGGAAGCAAATAAGATACTAAAAAGATTCCAAACATGCCAATAGACTCTAGTGTAATGAAAAAGGGCATTGACTTTGCAGACCAGAAGTCTTAAGTTCGAACCTCCATGGCCTCTTGGTTGTGTGTGTGTGAAAACCTTCCTCCCATGTAGTTTAGACTATTGTTTGTATTAAAAAAATAAAATAAACGATTCCAAAAATATCCTAAAAAGTTAAAATACTCTTCAGCCTAAAAGGTCTATATATGTCATTAATTAGTCGTGAGTTTGACTCATCGAAACCACGTATTATAGGCCCAAATATGATATCAGAGCCCAAATATGCAAAAGTTTTTCTATTTCTCGGCTTACACACGTGAAACTGTTTCTCAATCCTCTGAGGCATCTAATCTACATGAACAAAACCTTAAAAAGCAAGTATTGGGATAAAACCAAGATCAACAGTGAGATTTCAGGTCCTATGTGCACAAATTAAAATCAGTCTGTGAAATGGAAATGCTAAAAGAAAAATACCAAGAATTGATGAAAAGCAAGTATTTATAACTATAATTCATATCTTTTCTGTGAGATGGAGTCAACTACTCAGTTTTTCTCCTCTTCTTAGGAATATTTATAGTACAACTAGCACCCGGAAGGACGATAGATCGAAGAAAAAAAACAGTTTGGTTGCCTTGCTTAAATGCTGGTTGCTCACCTGCTAATCAAACATATACATTGACAATTTGGAAAATACATTAATTTGAGCTATAGGATTTCAATTTGATACTATTTGATTTTTAGTGATCTCAACCTAGGAATTAGGCCTTTCACTCATGTATTAATGAATTTTGAAGACGTAGCCAAAGATGAGAGGATGACGAGTTCAGACAGAGAGATTGATGACGGTTCGAAAGATTACCATTTGTGTCGGAGTTGAAGAGAGGAAGAACCAAAAGATGATGTGAGATTTAGGGCAAGAAAAATTATAGGTAACCTTTTTTCTTTCAAAATTATATACACGGGCTAACGATTCAGGCCCTAAGAAATCACGGGCTCTACTAGCTAGCATGAGTTTAAATGATTTTTGTTTAAAACATAATAACATGAGTTTGAACTTTATATTATCCAATTTTCAGTCGCCATAATTAGCATTATTAGTCAATCCATATTTGTGCGAGAAATAAGATCTTCGATGGCCTCCTTCTCCTCTCTCCATTGGTCCTGGTGGGTTCCCAAGTGAAGCAAAGCAAGCTGCGGATTGAGTAGCTTCGAGTGTCAAAAAGGGGTTGTGAGCTGAGGCTTGGGTCTAGTTTTCATCCTTTGTCGGTACGGTTTGCCTTGCCCTCACCCCTCGAACGGCAATGCTTAGAGTGGTGTTTGTTTTGTGTTGATGTTTTCTTATTTTATTGATTTTCTGGTGTTGATTTGGCTGTTGGGGTCTTAGCTTGTAAGT